ATGTATGTATGTATGTATGTATGTATGTATGTATGTATATGAATGAATGAATGAATGAATGAATGAATGAATGAATGAATGAATGAATGAAACAAAGTCCTCATCAATAATAGCAATAAAACAATAATCAGCAATGGTCACAGACATCCCAGGTATAGATTTTATCAACTTCTCAATCCCCCATACCCACTTAAAAGAATCAAGTCTTAATAAGTTTTCTCAGTATTAGGTGGAGAGCAAGCATTCTCGCAGATATTCAGGTCCAGAGCCCAACCCACTTCACAAGGTTGTTGTGAGGAAAATAGAAGCTAGGAGCATTCAATATGCTACCTTGAGTTGACTAAAATAAAGGTGGAAAAAACCCCCAGATAGATAGATAGATAAATGTATGTCTTTACAGCTATTACAGATACCTTGAACTGCACACAGAAACAATTTGGCAGCCAGTGCATTCAGGGCATTCCCATTAGTATGTTAGTAATTTTATTTTGTATCAGCTGAAATTTCTTGGTGGTCTTCAAGGGCAGTCCCCTGTAGAGCAAGTTACAGTAGTCCACCTAAGAGATGACAAAGGCATGAGCAACTGTTGGCAGAGCCTTCTGTTCCTGTTTTCATGTGGAAAAATTATTTTTGAGGTAGTTGTGCATCAAAGCCATGTAAAGGATGTAACTAAACATTAGCCCTTTAAACTTTATTTGGAAACAAAATAGTTAAACTGCTAAATTCTTTAAATATTATATTGGAAATACATTTCTAGTATCTAATCCAGAAAGTAGCTTAATTGCCTGAAAGAAAGATGACCCTGAATTTAAGATAATTCCCCAAGAAAAGAAAGAGTAGATAAAAACCAGACTATCAATATGAATGGAAATCCTGTGTACTGCCCAGCTTCCTTGGCTTGTCAGCTGGGGTTAACTACCATTGAAATCTATTCTGAAGGGTTCTTCTTAACAAGCAGGAAAATATGAAATACAGTACATGTTTTGTACATATTCTTTGGCCCACAGATTACTTTTCAGAAAAGATCAGCAATAACAACAAAATTAATTGAATGACTATTCATTAAAATGATTATTTGCAAAATAAGTCCACCTCTTTGTAAAATGAATTGCACTCCCACATGCAGGTACACATATGAACTGCTTTCTCACACAACATGCACACACACAGACTGGAAATTTGAGTTCTGCAACCACAAATGTATACATGCTTCTCTATGGGGTTTCCCTCTTCCTGAAGGAAAAGCTGTATAGTCTGAAAGGCCCTGAGGCCTTTTTGATTTCACTTTGTCATTGCAAGGTACAGGATGTCTTTGGCTCGGACTACCTCTTACTTCATTAGGCAGGTATATCGAATCCTATCAGATCAGCCTCCAGATTAGTATATTATTGGTGGAACTGCAGTTACTTCCAAATAAAACTTTTAGATTGCTAGCACCCTAATTATACTATACTGCTGCGTGGTCCATTACAATGACTTCTCTTTCAAAGCCCATTTTAAAATACTGGACTTGAACATTACACTTTAGGATGACGGTAATGGCTGTTGGTCTCCAACTGTCTAATTAGTAAAATTAATCAGATTCTTCTAGGATTCTGCCAACTAATGTTGACAGAATGGGCACCGAGGGAGGCAGTTCTGGATGAAGTTGCACTTCCTTGTACTTCATAATTTGGGTGTCTTTATGGACTCATAGCTTCTCCCTGAACAGCAGGTAGCAGGTGCTTTTAAGCATCACTGTACAGATACAGAGTTTAGAGGTAAGGTTGGATGTACTGTATATAAATTGTAATGTACTCTGTGAATGTTGGTTGCTCTTTACGTATTATATTTGTATCTGATTCTCTTTCTAGGTTTTTGATGATTGCCATGAAGGTGGTGAAATATCTCCTGCAAACTGTATTTACATGATGGAATGGCTAGAATTTTAGGAGTCAAATAGGCTCTGAAACTTTAAACCTGATGAATCAAACTTTTTCTTAGAAGACTACTTGGGCACTGGGTTGATACTTTTGAAAATACTGACTGCCCTGCCATGTGCTAAATGGGATACTATAGGATTTGAGGCTCTGCACCTGCTTCCAAGTAAAATGCATAGGGATACAATCAGAGCTTTAAGAGACAAGTTAAATTTTGATTAAGAGAATTAGTTTGCTGTGCTGAATAAATGAACCTATTAGTTGCAACTGAATCCTGCAGTGTGTGTTAAGATTGTCATATTAGGGGAGCATTTAGCTCAAGATACTTTCATGGCACTGGAAATCAGGGATGCAGTCCATCCAGATGTTCTCCCATGAAAATCTTATTAATTACTGCAACAATGAAATTGGGGTTGGTGCTATACTCAGTGACATAAATGTTTATACATTTGAAAGCTTTAATACTGAAAAACACATCTCTTGAAAATTAAAATGCAAAATCCAATCCTGTGTGTGTTTGACCAAAACTATAGAATTTATCAGGAAATGTCAGTGACCATCAGATTTGTCTCATAGACTGAATGTGTGCTGCTTCCAAGGTCAGTCAGAAACTATGTCTTGAACACCAGTTTTGGAAACAGTATATTGAGATTTCTGCATGCAAAGCTCTACCAGTAAGATGGCTGCACCTCTACCTAGAAAGGTTGTTCACTAAACAAGCAATAATTCACATATGGATATTCTCTGTGCCTCTGATGAAGTGAACTGTAGCTCATGAAAACTTAAGCCTTTTAATAAAATTTGTTAGTTAGAAAAGGTATTAACAGACTCCTGATTTTTTGCCACTGTAGACTAACATGGCTCTCCTCCTACAGTGTCTTACTGTATCTTGTAAGGGAAGCAGAGTACTAAGAGAATTTTGTTTCTCTTGTTTATGAATTAGCTGAAGCCCTTTGTCAGTAAGCTTTCTTATTTTGTTTAGATCTTTTTAAAAAAGTATTTTAAAATGAGCCTGAGCTTCATTTTACAGAAAAAAAAGCAAGCTACTTCAGCCTAGTTGTTATGCTTTAAAATAATGCAAGGTACAGAGTTCTTCCTTTCTGAGCAGATGAAGCTTGTCAACTTTTATTCTCTTTTTTGATAACTCTTTTTATCTACCATTATAGTCTTACGTTATTTATGCTTCATAATTTCTTCAGTGTAGTAGAATGTTTATGGAAAATATTTGGATTCTCTTGTACTATCTGAGGCAGGAAGACTTGCTACTGGACTCTGGCAAAATAACTACATCTACAAAGGTTTCTTTTAAGTTACCAGAAGCATGTGAGAAAAGATAGTTAGATGGAGGTGCCTGTGTTCTTCCAGATCAACAACAGCACTCAGCCAGATGAACAACCTGTCTTTTAAAAGAACACCCAGAGCCTAAAATGTGAAGAGACTACAAATTTCTCAATGCCATGGGTTGGTAACATATAATGAAGAGAACAAAGGGTGTAAAAAGGGATGGGGTGGGGAGGGGAGGTGACTAGATCCTTTGAGAGCTGAGTAAAAGAGAAGAATCAAAGGCTGGATTGAGGCAAAACTCTCAACCCAGATGGAGTGAGATGTTCATCATAGCCATGCTTCATTTCATCTTCCCTATAAAATCCCAGTCTAGCCACTTGGCAGGGCCAGAATAACAGTAAAATCTACTATTACTTAGAGAAATAATGCTTTTTTAAATCTTAATTTCCCCCCATGTTCAGGCACAATGGTAATCTAAAATTTTCCCCTCAGGGAAATGAAGTGTTAATCATAGTAAGAATCTTTGTATTTGCTTGCCACATTTCTATAAGATTGTGCCCAAAGAACTCAGAACATATCAAATTAATAGGAATAAATGTAACTTTATAAAGGTACAGTAAGAACAGATGCAAAATCTGGATAAAATCGCTTGGATTCATTGCAGCTGGATGCTGGCTTTGCTGCAGGTCTGGAGGAGATGCCTAGGGCGGAGTCTTGCCTGGCTATCTGGGAATGGTTTGAACCTGTTGGATCTGAGGAAGTGGACAGTCTCCTTAGGACTGTGAGCTCAGCCACCTGCTCTTTAGATCTATGCCCCTCCTGACTTGTGAAAACAGCCTGGGGGTTGTCATGTGGTGGGTTCTAGCGGTGGTGAATTGAGTGAGGGGATTGTTCCTTCGCCTCTTAAGGAGGCTTTGGCCTGCCCACCCCCAAGAAGCCCACGATACTGGACAATTTTCATCCAGTATCCAACCTTCTTTTGGGGGGAAGGTGATTGTGCAGCAGCTTCAGAGGACCTTGGATGAAGTGGATTACCTGGATCTGTTATGGAAATGGCATTGGTCGTGCTTTTGGATGATCTCTGGAATGGGAGGGATAGGGGTTGTGCATTCATCCCTAACCTCTCAGCGGCCTTTGATACTGTCGACTGGTATCCTTCTGGACCGACCCAGGATTGGGGGTGGGCAGGACGGTGTTGTGCTGGTTCACCTTCTTTCTATGGGGTCAGTTCCAGTTGGTGGTGATTGAGAAGGAGAGATCCTACCCTTGGCCCCTACTGTGTGGGGTGCCGCAGGGATTGGTACTCTCTCTTCTATTTAACATCTACATGAGACTGCTGCGGTGATCTCATCTGTTGCCATGGGGTGAGGTATCATCAGTATGCTAATTGTACATCTCTGCCCCTGGCGACTTAAGCGATGCTGTGGACATCCAGTCCTGGTGCCTGGAGGCGGTGAGGGTCTGGATGGGGAACAACAGGCTTCAACTGAATGCTGGCAAGACTGAGTGGCTATGGGTTTTAAGCCCCTCTCGTTCTAGGACTTTGCCTTTTTTGGTACTGGATGGGGTCACACTGCCCCAAACAGACCCCGTGCACAATCTGGGGGTCCTCCTGGACTCATGACTCCTGCTCGATGAGTTACCTCCCAGACTACTGCAATGTGCTCTTATGTGGGGCTGCCCTTGAAAAGTATCTGAAAACTTCAGCTGGTGCAAAATGTAGTGGCGCAAGCAGTTGTGTGCGCTTCTGGTAGAGCACATCACCCCTCTGCTTCATGAGCTGCATTGGTTACTAGTTTGTTTCTGGATCTAATTCAAGAAGCTGGTGTTGACCTTTAAAGCCCTTCATGGCATACGTCCAGGTTGAGGGGCTGCCTCTCCCTGATTTCATTTGTCTGGCCTATTAGATCTGGCAGAGAGGGCATGTTACGGGTTCCGACGCCAGGGGAATTACTTTTGGCAGGCTCTAGGCAGCGGGTCTTTTCTGCTGTGGTGCCCGTGCTATGGAATTATCTTCCCCCTGAGGTGAGGTTGACCTCATCATTGTTGGGCTTCTGGAGGTCCCTCAAGACCTGGTTGTGCCAGCAGGCCTTGGAACCCCAGGGGATGAGTGATCTAGTGAGGTGGATCAGTTATTTTTAACATCTCTTTGCTTATTATTTTTTTAGTTTGGTTTTTTATACTTTTTAAATGTATTTATTGTTTTTAACCCTGTTGTATGCCGCCTAGAGTCACTTGGAAAAAGTGAGATGGTTGGCTAATAAATTGTGTAAATAAATTTAAAAAATCTAAATATCAGTAATACCTAATACCTCATGGCTTACAAGGACACTTGGCAATTGTATAATTCGATTTATCACTGCTGCTTTCTACGCTGTTTTTTTCAATTACTCAGCATAGGTTTAAAAAATCAGTCTGGTAGTACCTTTTCTAACTAACAGTTTTTATTAAAAGGTATAAGCTTTCCTGAGTTGCAGCAGAACATGTGAAGTTGCCTTCTCTTTCTCCAGTGTGATATATGCCATCATCTGCCAGCAATGCTCCTCCAGATTCTACATAGGACAAACAGAACAAACTTTGCACAAAATAATGGACACAAGTTTGACATCAGAATGCAGAACAGAAGCAAAGTAACATCAGAGCATTTCAACCTCCCAGGACACTCCATGGCAGACCTCAAAGGAACTGTTTTGGAAAAATGGGACTTTAACAGTACCATTGAGCAAGAAATTGTTGAACTCATAACAAAAGGTTTCAGGCAATCTTAGAAGATCTCAACAGACAAAAGGGTTTTAATACATTACAACTGTTACTTGATAAGATATAGTACTTGTACTTTGTCTCACATGTAACCTGCATCAGAATAACCAAGTCTCCTTCCCACCTTCCCCCATCTAACCCAAATTGAAATCCTTCATCAGTCTAGCCACTCTATGCAGCCGCTGAAGTGAGTTGCAGCTCACAAGAACTTCGGGTTAATAAAAAATAAAATAAATAATAAAAGCTGATAATTAGAGAACATGCTACCAGACTCTTGATTTTTTGCCATCATAGACTAATACCTCTTTCCTCCTCCAGTGTTGGTTTAGAGTCCTAGGAATGCCTGGAAGCCTCCTATCTAGGCAAGCTGCTTTTCGTTTTTTGCCTTGTTGCTGCCACCTGCTAAAGGTGTATTCTCTTTTAAATTCATTCAAATTTATGGCCTAAGTGGCCCTTTCCAACTCTGCTTCCACGGCTTTCCTTTCCCTTCCTGCCTGCAGCACCAGCCTCCTGACCAGTCTTCTCTGTCCAAGCCTCATCTTACTATCCCTGCTACTCCTTGACAGCGTGAGAGACAACCAACAGGGGAGGAAAATGTGGCAACCAACAGAATAATTTCAGCAAATCCAGTTTAATACATTTAGGCATAATTTTTCAGTTAAAGGGAAGTGGCTGAAATCATTTTTCTCAGTGGGTTTCCAGAATGTCAACAAGCAACTATAATTTGGCAGGCCAGCACCTAGCCAAATGACTATGCTCAAAAGCAGGGTCTGATCTGGTTAGTATTTGGATGAGAGGCTACAAGCTAATATTCATACTGTTACTAGGAAAATTTTGTGGACTTGTCTAATGAAGTCACAAGAAGCCCAACTCAATTCAAGGAAGACTTACCTTTTTTTAAAGATTTTTTTATTCCACCTTTATTATTTTTATAAATAACTCAAGATGGCAAACATATCAAGGTGGCAAACCTTCTCTTCCTATTTTCCCCACAGCAACAACCCTGTGAGGTGAGTTGGGCTGCGAGAGAATGACTTGCCCAATGCCACCCAGCTGGTCTTCACACCTAAGGTGGGACTAGAACTCACAGGCTCCTGGTTTCTAGCCTGGTTGCCTTAACCACTAGACCAAACTGGCTCTCATTAAATTTTTAATGTTTTAAGATGAATTTGTTTACACAGTGAGTTGGTATGAATTCAGTTCCTCAAAAAATAAGCTTTAGAGTGTGGGTGTTCTAATTATCACTCCAACAAAAGTGAAGAAAATGATCTCAAAGCTCTGGGGAGAAATATCTAAACACCAGTGGGGGAGTATTTCAATTTCTGAAACTTACCTCAACATGGCTGCTCTTGAAAAAAAGATAACTGACTGAAACACAGAACAGAAATTGGAACACAAAAAAGGACTGCTCTTATTTTCAGTTCACCTGGACTAGTTTATCATGGAGTATTTCCTCAACCTGGAACCTCAGTGACGGTGACTGGGATAAATTCCAATAATAAAAGCCACTTAAGTAGAGTTCTGTAACAGTGGGGATCAGAAAGGTGTTTTGCTTTAGACCTTTTTGATCAATCTTATTTACACTGATACTGACCAGTGACCAAGTGGAAAAATCAAATATTTCTTCAGCAAGCATGTTTCAGAAGTGATAAGAGCTTTTTTTGTTGAAAATTAAGACTACTTTCTGCAGCAGCAACTGGACTATCAGAAAAATTCTTGCTATGAGTGCAACCAGAGATCAACATTCTAATCCCATCACGGTCTACTGCAAGCTTTTGGTACACCTTCTGGATGTCAATGATAACATGCCTATATTCAAGTGATCTGGGCAAGGCAGGCATTGGAGGGACCATGTTATCTCAACAGGTGCTATACAATTTTCACTGAGTCATAAAATCATAGGCAGAGATGAATCACATTCTTTTGAGACTTTTGGCAAAACAGCTGCATGCAAACCCTGGAAAATACAATGAATGTGGTGTTTGAGATGATTTTGAGTCAGGTAGATTCATTCTGGGATTCCTGCAGCAAATTTCAGCACATAACAAGACACAAGATGTTGAGAGAAATGCTACTGAGTTGAAACTGGCAGTTGCAGAAACAATAATTTCTGTACAAAAATATGCATACATATGCAAGAAAGCAAAGTTCCAACCATTTGGGAAAGAACTTTCCTTGAGAATGAAAATGTTTTGGGATGATACCTCTTTTCCTTCCAGATACTATCTTGCTGACCTAATTATATACCTGCTCTTTCTACAGAAATGCTGATTCTTCTTTTGCATGAAACGTGCTGCAGGAATTGGTATGGTAGGTCTCCTTTCAGACAAGACAGTCTGAAGCATAGCTTTTCTTTCCTTAATGTAAACCATTTGATTATTGAGACAGTGGGTTTTTCCACTACATTCCAGTTTTTTGGAGTGTATTAAATTCTTTTTAGGGAAGACATTCTAATTGCCACACTAGACATTATGATCCCACTCACGTATTTGACATTAAGCTGCTGAACTCTTTCTAAATGCTATTTATGAGAGCATCAGTAAATGTAGATTATGAACCAGTTTAACAATTGTTTCTTATACCTCTGTGTATTTTATGAATTTCCTAACTGTATAACTGCTTCGTTACAGCAATATTTCAGCATGCTTCAAGACCTCTCAGTGTCCTCTTGGAATCAAAGCCATGCCATCACTGAATTCTAGTCATCCAGAAAATTCTGCTTCTTAGGTTCTGAAAGCCATGGGTGAGATCTGCCCCACAGATACATGTTTATGGATGCAGTATTTTCATGACCTGATTGTAACAGCACGTTCAGTTGTCAATGCTCTTAAGTGATCAAACACCGAGCACAAATTTTCTCCAAAACATTTAATCAGCACCACAAATAGTTAGCTTGGTAACTATTCTGCAAGTTTGTAGAGATGTTGTCTTATGGCATATTAATATTTCTGCTTTCCTCAGGTTAGTGAGTGCAGAAATGTGTAGGATGAAATAGTCCATCAAAGCTGGGTTTGGTTATAATATTCAATGATAACTTCTTACCTCAGTGCCAGGTAAGAAGGTATACATTTAGGAGATGATTAAATATAACTTTGAAATGTCTATCTCGTTCTGATCTTATAAAAAGTAAGTCAGGACCATAACCATCATTTTTCAAGTTTCTGAAAAGGAAGTTTCCTCATGATCTATGTTAACTAACTACTATTCCTGAAGAGCAGGGGAAAGGCTGTAGTTTGATGGAGATGTCATCAGGGAACCCCAAACAGGCTTGCAGTTCAAAGCTATCTGCCATATCCTCCAGGCGTCCTATGCTCCATGAGCGAAGCAGGCCAACAGCTGGCTGTCCCAAGTGAGAAGTCAGTGGCTGATCAAGGCTCTGAAGGCAGGGACTGGACAGACAGGTTCTTTCTGCCAGTGGTAATTCATCCTGGTTCTGCATAGCTGAGAGAAAGAGTGCAGGTATCACAGAGATTCAATTTGTGCTTCATGTAAAGCCAAACCTTGTTGTAAACATGTTGCTGTACAAGCTTTAATGGCTGGGTTCACATCTGAATCCTAAACTGCATTATGGTTTACCAAAATTTGTGATCCCAGCCTCAGTCGTTCACAACATAACTAGCCTATAGCTGCAAGACAGTGCACAGTGGAGATGACAAAAACTAGTATGTGCTTTCCCCTATTTTTCCAAACATTCTCCTTGCCCATGATCACTTATTCAACAGCAGAGGTCATTTCACCTGCCTCAACCCTTTTATTCTTTTTACTGCTATCTGGTCCATCAACTGAGTATCTGCTGTTTTCTCTTTGCTGGTAATTCTTTCATCTGGTTTGGAGGATTGCAAAGCCTTTTTCATAAGCTGGGTTTAGAGTCAATAAGGGCAACCTCTCCAAAATGTAAGGTTCCCAAATGATCTGGTTCAGAGCTGTTTGTGCTAACAACAACATCTAAAAATGCTTTGCAGCTAGCTAGCCATCGGTACAGGGAAAAGGCTTTGCTTAATAACCTAAACATGGCATCCTGCTTTTGGAACACAGTGCCAAAATTCTTCTGATAATTCACCAGGGAGGCCAGAAAACTCCTTTGTCTGCTTTGCTGTTGTTACCTGCTTTGTACCAGCAGCAGAGAAGCCATTTAATATAGCGGTACTGGGCCAGGAGGTGTCCCTGATGAGCTGCCCGCTGGTAATAGAGGATTGCCTAGAAAGAAATAGCAACATCTGAGAAAAAAATATTACCACTTATTGAAAAAACTGCTGGGGAGGGGATTAAGTTAATCTGTCCTTCGCAGAATATATATAATCTAAAGATGGTCAGATAGATTTGATAGATAGACAGACAGGATATTGAAAAATATTTTGTAGGGCTGCTTTATAGCTTTATGTTAATAAGGAATCTTAAAAGGTAATTTATTTTGTAATGAAGCATCCCACAGATATTCTAAAGCAAAGGTAATTAACCTGTAGTCTTCAAAATACTTTTGCAGTTTTTAGGACCCAATCTGACTGGACTACTGAATGCATGAAAAGTCTAATGTAAGTACAAAACATTCAAGAAAAAAGCCTCCATCCCCCAATTGAAACATCCTGGTTCAATCCACTTTGCATGCCACTTTAACTCTCTGCTGTCCTAAAAACCATTATGCACAGCCCTAAAAAGACTGTCCACATCTGTTGGAACACAAAGAGAAGTTTCACTTCAGCAAATCTACTTACTTCCCTCTTTCATTAGGAACACAAGGAATATAAAGAATAATGCTGAATCATTGAATTAGGAACCCCTTGTTCTGCCTTCCCAGATATTTATTTTTTTATTAGATTTATATCCTACTTTTTGTACAGGAGCTTATAGCAGTGTAGATAGTGCTCCCTCCTCCTATTTTTCCCCATAACAAAAACTCAGTGGTTGGACTGAGAGAGGATGATGGGCCCAAAGTCAGCCAAGATTATAACATGTTCCAAATTGTTTTCCCTACTAACTGCACTTGGAAAAAAAAACTTTCCATTGCCTCCAGTGAAAGCTTTTTCCAAATATAATTGCAACATAGAATGTTATCCTTATCCAGTTGTAATCCCACACAATAGGTAATTACTGTGTAGCTATCTACACTAGGCAAGGAAAGTTTTTTTTTTAATCCCAATTGGTATGGGATGGGGCAAGGCAAGGAGGACAACACATGATAACCCATAAGGCCAGAGATTCCCACTCCTGCTTTAAGCACAAATGAAAGCAGAGGGCCCAGGTTTCTACCCCAAAAGCAAGGCACCTGAGAAAAAAAGCTGAAAAAACAAAACAGCTGGGAACAGCTTTGGAAGCAGCTGTGTGGATTTTGCAAAACATGTGGCAACTTTAACACTTCAAAGAAAGGTGCTCATTAATGCACTTTGTGAAGCATCTTGCTTGAATACTTTGCAGTCTTAGCTATGAATACTGAGAAACAGAATATTAGTAGCTTGTATCTACTTTAGAAGGAGAGCAAGGTTGGTGTAGTGGTTAAGACACCAGGTTAGAAACTGGGAGACCATGAGTTCTAGTTCCACCTTGGATACAAAGCCAGCTGGGTGTCCTTGAGCCAGTCACTCTTTCAGCCCTAGGAGGGAGGCAGTGGCAAACCACTTCTGAAAAACCTTGTCAAGGAAACTGCAAGGACTAGCCCAGGCACTCACCAGAGTCAACCCTGATTTGAAGGCATGCATGTGCACACAGATAAAGACACAGAACCTACAGAAGACAAGGATATCCCAGACAAAGGAGGAATTCCTCTAATTTCCAACAGCGTTTAAAGCTGCTGGACTGTACAGTTTCATAACATATCCATTCCTTGTGTAAGTGCTACAATTTATGGTAGGCAGATTTTCTTCTTCCTAGGATGAAGTCTTGTAATTCATCAAAAACAAATAAAATACATGTGAACTCATGTTAATATAGAAATGGCACATTGGCCATATATTTTATGGCTTGATACACAGTTAACAGCTATAGCCCTCTCTCTCCCTTCATAATCTGCAATGTTGTATAACTGCTGTGTGCTTCTTTTGCACACTTTCTTAACACTTTCCAACAAAGATAATTTTTTTGCAGTGAAGAAGCAACAAGATAAGAGAAAGCAATTCAGCTATTCAGCTTGTCTGTGTGTTCTAGGACATTTTTTTTTTTTTTAATCTGCTTTCAATTGTGACCGATTCTACGGAGACTGCCTGGACAAGTCCCTGCAGTTTTCCTGGCAAGGTTTTTTGGGAAGTGGTTTGCCATTGCCTCCTTCCTAAGGTGGAGCCCAACTGGCAGTCGCAGGAAATTGACTCTCTTCCGTTGCATCCAGCAACTGGCAACCGATTCCCATTTTCCTGTGCAAGGTGCCGCCAGCGTTTTTCCTTCCAGCAGGGTGAGAGTACCTATTTATCTACTCGCTTATACTTTCGAACTGCTAAGTGGGCAGGAGCTAGGGACGAATGTGGGAGCTCACATTGCTGTGTGGAGCTTGGGCTTGAACCACTGAAGTGTCGACCATTTCTGGCCAGCAACTTCCAGCGCCATTAAGCTGCTGCGCCACTGTGTCCCTTAGGACATACTAGGCACTTTATAGATAATAAATGCTTTTTTCCCTCCAATTTTTCTACATAAAGAGGTAACATATAGGCTGAATAAAATAAATAGGACTGGAGGACCTTAGCCATGTTCTTTGTAGTGCCTCTTCCATGTTCGTAGCATAAGCCTACATTGTACTGGGCTTTGCTATAGTTCTGATCTGCAGCCAGCTTGAAACAGGAAAAAGCCATTTTGTACTGCTCAGCTTCCATGTTTTCAAGCCCTGAGAAAACAATATATAACAATAAAAAATTCAGACAACAATGGTACCAGTACATTCTTTAAATTGAACATACAATCATTCTCTGTCTCACTCATATAGAAATAACTTCAGATCTAATTCTGAGGTTGTCCTGCAGGAGACAGCTGTTAAATGTAATTGCACCAAATTCAGCTATCAAATTATCAAATTTGGTCTTATACAGGATCCTTCCACACTACGTGGCAAGAAAGACTTGTTATTCTGGTTTTACAAATAAATGTAACTCAGGTTTTTAACATGGCAGAGATTATTGGAATAACATTTTAATAAGCATACATCTTTATGGCTCACTAGACATTAGCTTGTACACAAATTTTCCTTCAGTAAATGAGTGAATATATTCTGAAGGACTTATCTAGGCAGAATCTGAATATAGTGAAAAAGGATACTGTCGCAGAACATGCACTCTCCTTATATTCCTGGAATCACTATTTCTGTCATGTATTCTTACTGAAATGGGAAATTTACTACTATCCAGGTACAAGTGGAAACCTTAACCTACAACCTTAAGGCAATTATGCCCATACAGCCTGCTTGATATTGAGCATTGACACTACTGGCATCTGTGGAGACAAACTTGCTTAAGCAAAATCCATATAGGACATTTCTGACTTGCCTTGCTGACAACTTTCTCCTTCTGAAAGTGGAGCACGAACAAGAGGACAGCTATTACTGACTTGATGCTAATCAACATACAATATTTAGTTGAGGAAGTGAATGTAAAAAAAACCCAAAAGCAAGCAAGAAACACCAGAGTCCTTAATTTTAATGGAAATTAAAGCTGAATGATTTGAATACATATCTTGGACTTAAAAATGGAGATTTTAATAAGCTCAGAGCAATGATAAGTAGAATTTCTTGGTTGATGAGATTAATAGGAAAAAAAGAACTTAAGTTGGATAGAGAATCAGTTTGGTGTAGTACCTAGAAACCAGGAGGCTGTGAGTTTGAGGCCTCCCTTAGGCATGAAAGTCGGCTGGGTGACTTTGGGCCAGTCACTCTCTCTCAGCCCAACCCACCTCACAGGGCTGCTGTTGTGGGGAAAATAGGCAAGCGTATTAGGTATATTCACCACCTTGAGTTGAATGAATAAATTTTTTTAAAAAAATAGATAAAATCTAGTAATAATAGTAATAAAGCAAAATCTCCTTTAATTCAAGGATGGCTCAAGCTTAAGACACATGTCCATGTAATTTCTTAACAAACTCAGAATGTTTTTTCAACCTCCCAGTCTAGCTTGTAGCCCTGGGATTTCACGGTGGTTTCCCATCCAAGTACTAACAAGGTCTACCCTGCTTAGTTTTCAATCCTAAATAAGACTCGTGGAATGCTGGTGAAAAATCCTAAAAAAGATATGAAATAAAGCACCTTTTCAAACAATTCCAATCAGGAAAAAAATGAAGGAGTGCAGGCAAATCACAGTGTGCAGCTCAAGAAGCTTAATGAAGACCTGAAAACAAAAAAGGACATAAACAGGAAGTAGAAAGAGGGAGAAGTCACCACAGAAGGGTACATAAAAATAGTCTGGAACTGTACCAAAGGTATCAGGAAAGCTACTACTGAGAATGAACTGAGGTTGGCAAAGGAGGCCATGAACAATCAAAATAATTTCTATAGGTATGTTCAAAATAAAAGGAAAAGTATTATTGCTGAATGAAGATACATAGTCCTCGGTTAATGATGGTAATTGGGACTGGAATTTTTGTCACTAAGCAATGTGGTCATAAAGCGTGACAACTGCATCGCTTAGTGATGGCAATCCTGGTAGTCCCCATTGCTGTTGTTAAGCAAGGACCACATGGGTTGTTAAGTAAGGACTTCACATGACCATGATCTGGAAGGAGGCAGGGATCCAGAAGTGCTTGCTTACGCCTGAGTCCCAGGCAAGCAGGCTGGCGGCCGAGAGCTATGGGCGGTTGGGATGGTGCTATGGAGTATGGGGAGGCAGGCAGGTGCCGTGGGTGGGTGCTATGAAATATGGGCGGGCGGCTGCTCCAAGTGGGCACAGCAGAGTAGGGTCGGGTACTATGGAGTATAGGTGGGCAAGCAGCTGCCGTGGAATACAGACAGGCGGGTGCTATGGAGTACAAGTGGCTACTACAGAGTATGGGCAGGTGCCAGGGGCAGGCATTACAGAGTACAGGCAGGCAGGTGCTGTGGGCAGATACTATGGAGTACGAGATCCCCATGCTGCCCTGGGGCTCCTCAGAAGAAAAAATGGTGGCAGCAGGAATAACTTGCGACTTCCTGCTGGTTTTCCCTTTGACTTTGCTTCTGGGAATTTGTGATCTTCCCTGCTGGTAAGTCCCTCTTGTTCAATGCCATCAAAACTTTGAATGGTCGCTGAATGAATGGTTGTAACCTGAGGACTACTTGTAGCAAAATGCTATGAAATCAAGAATGGCAGTTGGATTTACTGTGATGTACCTTTCTGGTCACCAAAAGATGGATCTGACAGGAAAATAACTTCTTGCTAGAAGTCTGGGCTATCCTTCATCTCTGGAGGTGTTTAAGAGGCTGGACAGTCACCTCTCAAGGATGGTTTAACTGGCTTTCCTGTACACTGCAAAGGACTGGACTAGCTGATCTTTATGATCCCTTCCAACTCCACCATTCTATGATTCTAGTTCCCCAGCCCTACTAGGGAAAAGAGAAGCAGATACCAGAGGAATAAGGAAGCCAGCTAAGTGATTAAACAACCAGGGTAAACAACCAGGGTAATTAATCAGCATTGTGTATGGCAAATTCTTGCCTAGGAGTACAGACTATAAAGGCTTCTGAAAGAGAAAGTGCAAACGGAAATTCCTTCTCTGGATAAGGACTTCCCATTCTCTCAGATGGGTGCTGTGCTGTGCCCTGGTGCTGAGAGAATGAGAATGAACAGAAAAGAGAAAATGAGAGAGGATGAGTATGGATATGCATGTGAATGCATACAGGCATTTAATATTCTAAATCAATAAAGCTTTATCATTTAAGCTCAAAGTTCTCATTATTTGTTGCAAGTTCCTAGCTGCCTCTAGGTTGAAATTCTAGGGAAATCTCCCCCTTTATCAGAGCTGGCCAGAGTCAGCAATATAACACAAAAGCAGTAAACAGCCAATGTGCCATTTCAGTTAATCAGTTAGTGTGTGTGTGTGTGTATACAGTTGCAAGAAAAAGTATGTGAACCTTTTGGAATTTCATGGTGTTCTGCATTAATT